AACATTGGCAAACAAAACAAGTATGTAATGATTCACTGTGTTACACTGTAATTTATAATTTATATACATATGTTTTACAATAAATATCTCTAACCAAATCTAGCGTGGCTGTAGCTCTTTTTATGAATATTAATTTTTATATCTAAGCCACTATTAATATTATTAAAATATAAAATAGGAAATATTTTTATGTTCTCCGTTTGTACTTTTGAAGTACAAAATACCAGAATTGTCTTAAAAATATAATTTTTCAAATTAGATTACTTCAAACACGTGCTCTATCTTATATATATGAGACAGAGCACGTGTTTGAAAAAAATAATATTTTTAAGACGATTCTTGTATTTTGTATTTCAGCGGAGAACATAAAAATATTTCCTATTTTATATAATATTTTAAAATACAAGAATTGTCTTAAAAATGTAATTTTTCAAATTAGAGTATTTCAAACACGTGCTCTGTCTCATATATGAGACAATGAGACAAAGCACGTGTTTGAAATACTCTAATTTGAAAAATTATATTTTTAAGACATTTTTAAGATAAATTTTTAAGACAATTATCTTATTATTTAAATTAAATAGGTTATGAGTTCAAGCTAGGATATCCTAGCTTAGACTCATAAACTATTTAATTTAACATATTCTATAATTTGACACTACATATATGTACGTATACGTATATATACATATACATACAATAAAACATTGAAAAGTGTTACTTAGTTTGCTTTAAAAATCTGAAACAATGTGAAGACAAAAATTTATCAAAAATGATGGAAAGTGAAAACTTTATAAATATCTTCAATCTATGAGTTGATAACTTAATTAGATTTTGAAAATGCAAAGGCTATTAATATTTTATGTTTACTAATACATTTTATGTCTCCAGAAAAATATTTGTATGTGGTAAGCATAACTATAAGGCCTCTATCAGAGCAGCTAAGAATATCAATGAATGTGGATGACTAAAAAATAAAAGTTGTTTCGAGACTAAGATTGGAATATTGTAATAATAAAATATTTCCTTTTTTCAGATTAAACGCACGATTCGTACAATGGCTGTGTCACCGGATTCCTATCAAATCTCAGTGAAGCTAATAGAGGCTGTCAAAGAACACCCAGTACTTTATTGTACTGAGGTGAAGGGTGAGCCGGTGAAGCTGAAGGAATTCAAACTGCAAGTTTGGGAATATATCTGTGGCCAACTTGGACTGGACTGTAAGTTTTTATATGTCGTTTCCTTTTTTTTACTTACTATGCTACTGGCTATGTTATATATTTTGCAACTTTAAAAGTTTTTTTATTGAAATAAAACTTCCTATGAATTTAAAAATATAATCTACTCAGAACAACGTAAATATCTAATAATAGTGAAATTATTATTTTTTATTAAATGCATTCAGAAACTATACGGTAGAAAAAACAACTTTACAACTGTTGAACCATCTTGTATTGCCAATGTTGTGTAACGAAGAGAGAAATCGAGGAGTCAGTGAGAAATGTTTTGTCTTAATTTTATTGGAATCATAGACATCATGGGGTGTGTTCAGATTCCCAACCTGACGACCCAGGGTTGAGTTATCTAGAGTTTCGATTCTAACTCGGCTGATTCACTCCGAGTAACAGGTGGCTCTGAACGGTTCGGGTTGTCATTTGGGTTAAAATATGGTGGCAAGGAATAAAAAGAAAGGAAAAAGATGGATTACGAAAAAAATATCATTGTGCTTATGGCCATTAATGTGACTGAACAACTGTTCAGATCAATATTCAGTGAAACATTGGAAAATAGTGATGAAGAGGAAGAGTTGGTCGAGGCATTTTTATTGGAAGCCCATCTAAGGCTACGTGGCCCATTGAGAAAAGCTATACGAATTGAAGGTTATGTAGAAGAGACAGTCCCAAGATTTAATACAAAACAATTCCGTGAACATTATAGAATGTTGCCTAGTACGTTCGAACTGTTAGAAAATCGTCTTCATCCTATTTTGGCAGGGGACCCTATTAATAATGGTTCTTCGGAACTCTTTTTGGTATTCTCAATTTCAAACTTGCCGCTAAAATACGCCGAGTAACTCTTTAACCGATGAAAAATGATGGGTTGAAAAGTCGACTCTAGAGTTAACGCAATTACTCTAACTTAGCGATCTGAACGCAGTCTACCGAGTCAAAAAATAATTACTCAGATACTATCTGAACGGGGTCGGGTAAATATTTCTACTCTGAGTAAGGAATCTGAACACACCCATGGGGGAAGTAAAAAGGTGTGCTTATGCGCAGGCATTTTTTGCTGGCCAATGACAGAGCCTGACTCAACTTCGCCATCTTGAATAACTTCTAACGGGGGAGATTTTTAAACGAAGAAACGCAAAATATTATGCACATACAATTAAATAGCCTTACTGTTTATACGTATCGCCGAAATTAAAAAATTTAATAAAGATAAAATTAAATTTTAAGATGCTAATGTTTTTCAAACATTAAATTATTTAAACATTAAATTATTATAACATTAAATTATTATAATATTAACTAAAATTATTAAATAACATTAAGTAACATTAAATAACAGGTTTAATAACATTAAATAACAGATAATACATTAAATAACAGATTTAATATTAAATTACTGATAAATATTATTAATGATAATGATGTTATTATAATGATAAATGATACATATTAATAACAGATAACATTAAAACATTAATATTTTTAACATTTTTAACATTATTTTAACAGATTTAATATTTAGATATTTTTCGATTAGTAAATTTTGACATTTTTTATTATGTTTTATTTTATAATTATCAGTGAAATTTTTTTTTTCTTTTTTTTTTTTTCCAGTGAAATTTCCACCATGATAGACATAAGGTTTTTTATGTCTATGTGCTTGATTGCCTCTTTCGAATCTAGTGGGTGATCTTAATTCGCTCGCATGTCCGCACGAATCGCAACCGTCGTGATGTAGCGATGCCGGGTCATATTGGATCTCTTCGTCATCGACCTCGTCATCTAGATGACACCCTTACATTTTCCTTAGCGAGAGTGTAGACAGGTGTAGATCTGAAAATCGTCGATCATCGTTGGTCATCGGTTTCTATCGCCGTACGAAAATATATAAAGAAGGTACACGTGCCTGCTACTCAATTACTCATCGGTGCTGAGTGCATACGAACGTCGTGGTTGAGATTGGTTTGTTGGAGTCATTGTCAAATGCTGCCCTGTCTGATATCGAAAATTATAACGACATACAACCGTAAAATTTGAGCAATTAATCACGTACGTGCTTATAAGGACTTGTATTACGTCTGCGATAGAGAAAGAGAGTGAGAGAGAGAGACAGAGAGAGGAGGAAAACGTGCAGCGCCTGCAATCTTTTAGCTCTTCATTTTGGCTGAGTCAAGGTATGTATACGTCGTCATTGCAAAATTTATCGTGACAATTGCATGATTGCCTCGTGTCTGTTCAACGTCAACGTTTAGTCTCACGTACAACATACGTTTGATCTTGGGCTTTTATGATCGGACTTCATCGAGAAAACACTTTGACAGCGGAAAAAACGAGTGGTATGGAGTGATGTGACGACTAATTATATCTAAAAAGACTGTAATTGTTTTAAAACGTGGAGTAAAATATATCAATAAGAGGTGCCTTAAATCACCCTTGCTTTAGATTATGACTGCTTTTTTTTAAGAGACATAATAGACGTCATTCTATCATTGGGTGTTTTCCAACAAGAGATACAGATGACACAGTGTAACAATATCATTACATCCTTATCATTCGCCAATGTTAAGCAAAGATAAAATAATCACTGTGTAATACTGGGTCTCTTGATGAAAAGCATCACTTCTTGGCATTCATTGAATAATAAGGATAAAACGACTAGTGTATTGATTTCTTAAAAGGAAAACAATCTAAGATTGTTTGAGATTGATTTTTTAGAACAGACTATTTTCAATTCTTTTTTTCTGTCTCTTGGAACAAAATCGCCAATCTAACTGATTAATGTATTTATGCATTTTCATTGTCAAAGAGGATATAATTGTAATTCTGATTTTGTTTCAAATTATTTTTGCAGAAATCTAGCGAGGAAAAGTGCAACGTGATCGAAATGGAATTTCCAAATTTGGGAGAACATTGCTCTGAGAGCACATGCAACCGCTTGGATTTTTTACCTCTGAAGTGCGACGCTTGTCAAGAAATCTTTTGCACAGATCATATAACTTATACAAGTCACAGCTGCCCCAGTGCATACAAAAAAGATACACAGGTGCCTGTGTGTCCATTATGCGATGTTCCTATACCAATTAAGCGTGGCGATCTGCCCGATGTGGCTGTAGGATTGCATATAGATAACGACTGTAGGGAAAGCCGTAGAAAGGTATTCTCTAACAAGTGTTCTTCAAAGGGGTGCAAAGTCAAAGAGATGGTGCCGGTAAAATGTAACGAATGTGGTGCCAATTTTTGCCTCAAGCACAGACACCCCACTGATCACGCTTGTATCGGAGCGGAGGAAGCGTTGAGACTACGTAGGTTGGAGGCACTAAACAAGAAAGGTCAAACGACAATATTACCAAATAACAGTAACAGTAATTCCCATCCGTTCCGAAGCCTTCAAGGAACGATGACCGAAGATGAAGCATTAGCTAGAGCTCTTCAAGCTTCCTTAGACGATGAAGAGAGAAACAGACGTATGTTACAACCAGTGCCTTCTGGAAACCGAGATAGGTGTAGACTTTCGTAACTATCTACATATTATTTTATACCGTTATAAAGAGAAAAAGCTTCTTCCTTATTTCCTGAAAATCTATGGATACGAAGATACGTATTATGATCCTGTTAAAGTTAGCGCCAAACTATACATAATTCGTGATTCAAAGTTCACAGTTCATAAATAGTGTAAATGGACAACTTCATCCAATTCGCATTTATTGTTTACCATTTAATTCATGAAGCGATTTATTAACAAAATTAAGGAGAGAGAGCAAACTATTACGAATCAATGTTGTTGATTTGTATATAGTTACACTGCACAAACAATGAATCACGAATTGCAATTCATGAATCGCTTATAATTTGGCGCCAGCTCAAAGGATGCACATATTTGACAACACGTACAACGGAAATTACTTAAGTATATTTATTACTCTATTCGTTTTTTATCTGTTATGTACTGTTATAGTTATAACTACTGTTATACATATAATCAGCTATTGCATTTATATGCATAGAAATTACAACGTATTTATATAAAATTGCTCACGTAATTAAGCACATTATCATAGCATCTTATGAAATTCTTAAACAAAATTGTATATCAAAGCATTTATCTAAGAAATTATATACGTCATATTCGATAAAATGTTATATTAAGTTGCAAGTACAAATTGTTCGTAACTCAATATTTCCTTTATATCATAAATATGTGAATTATCTCATACTTCATTTAGATTATAAACTTTGGCTTACAACCAGAAAATATATTCTGCCGAAAATAAAACAATTCTGATAATATATAACATGATAAAGCTTCAGTATAGAGTGCCTTAGTAGACGAAGCATAATCTTATTATAAATTAAAATACGCACTTACACGAAATTTCTTTGATTAAAAAAAAATTAATTTACACTCATTAATATTGTAATCGATTTGCTGTAGAAACTGCTTTCAAACAGTGGCTACACATACAGATTTCATACGTTATAAAAATACATACCTGAATTTAATATTATTTTCAATAGGATATTAAATCGTCTGTTATTAATTAACAAAAACATCACGTATACAAGAAAATAATATTACAATTTACGTATTTCTTGTTAATAGGATTTTAAAATAATATTACAATTTTTACGTATTTCTTATTAATAGGATTTTAACAAATAATATAAAATAAGTATTGAGTTTTAGTGCAATATCAAAAACTGTGATGGCAGAAAGAAATCATGTATATTGTATGATATTTAGGAGTGTTCATATTATAACTTAAGAAAATCTTAAAATAGAAATCACGTTTAAACATATCACGTCACAGGCTTCTTAAAATAAAAATTTCTCAGAATATCACCAAAATGAATAAACAAATAAATATATTGATTTTATACTAAAGATGCTGCATTGACAAAACTGATATTCATAAATTCTGTGATAACTATCATATTTTTATAAATATATATAATTTTACAATACACTTAGTTCCTCTTAATTTACTTCATTTTTTTTTTTGGAAATGTAGAATAAGCATTTTCTTTAAAAAAAAAAAAATAATTACAATAAAAGATCTATTGATAAATATATCTATAATATGTACGAATGCATTGACAATTAATGAATATAGTCAATAGCAGATGTATGCTTAAGCTTGCCACTACGTATATATATATTTACCAATGAATAATATGCTTTTAATATTAAAGACTCGAAAAATAAAATAATTCTTGATAACATGTAAATAGAAATATGCGTTTTACTATTTTCAAAAGTTTGTTAGTACTGTTATAATATACGCGCCTACGACACATATCAGAACTACTGGAAAATATAAAAGTAATAATTTATCTTTTTGCAGTTATTATATTTTAGATAGAAAACCTTTTTAACATAAATAAATTTTGTCATTTTATGACTCTCCTACAAAATACTTTAATTTTATTGTACAAAAATATACTGTCTTCCAGTATTTCTGAAATGTTCTTAATATGTAAGACAAAGTGATTTATTATACATTCCTATATAAATATATCCATGTATCTTCTTATATTTATTACAATAATTTATATTCAATAGATTCTCTAATAAATATATAATATTTGAACTAGATAATCAAAACAAAGAGATGACAAGCAGTAATTTCATAACTGTGGATAGACATGTATACACGTTTATAAAAAAGCTCATTTATTGATATTATATATAATTCCTAATTTATTTTCTATTCATATGTGCTGTATAAAATTACGTTTTAATTATTATGCGACCAATATAACATATAACTTTTTCAATAACTTTTTAAATTCTACGAGAATGTATCGGATTTAAAATATTCATATATATATATATATATAGAATTGATTTTTCCCAATAAAGTGTTCACTAGTAGGAGGCAGTTATTTTTTTTCCTTTAAATGTTTTTTAAGAATTTTAATTACTATTTAGGCACGTATTACAATTACAGATACGTGTTGAGATAAATCAATTTAAAAAGTGACAAAATAATCATAAATGAATTTATTTTAACGAACAATCTAAAATAATATATTCAATGTATTTGTTATATATTAAGTTGACCTTTTATCATTTTAAAGAATATATTTTTCCACAAATATAATGAAATTATATCTGTAATGATAATTCAAAATAATTTTTATAAGAATTTAACATATATCGAAAATTAAAACAAAAAACCGATATTAAATTATACATATTGCTTGATATACCATGTTTTAAGCGGATGCGATTAAAGTGCACTATTCTAACGTTTCTAGTATTTATGTATAAATCAGCAGCACGATTTTTACATACTGAGTGTTTTTTATTACACTAGTAAATCCATGCATAACATATATTGTATAAAAGAGAATCAAATGTTACACATTTGCATTTCTTTGCAGAGACGAGATATATTTACAGATTTAACATAAAGTAAAAATAAATTAACACTTACATTAGAAAGTTAAAGATATCTATTTTATGGTACAAATTTTTGAGATTGCTTTGAGATGTGTACGTGACGTTAAATATTCTGCTAATTTAATGTAATTTATACTATTTGTATATATATCAAAAAAATCTAAACAGGCTATTTATGAATCTAGGTCACATTTTTATTTTTTTGAAATATAAAATACGACCATTTATCTACCAACTTTTCCTAATTTAGTATCTGTTTTCGGATTAGCCGTTATACTTTGTACAGTAACTATTGTCTCATTAATCTTTGTCTGGAGATTTCTGAGATCTTGAATGTACAATAAAGCAAGACCTTTGGCGGCGTTGTCTAACATCGCGTCGCCCATCTTAAAACTAGGTCCTATAATAGTCTTTACGAGAGATTTATTTTGGGCGTATTCGACACTATTAGATTGTTTAATCGTATCTGCGTTCAACTTGTTGCACACGAGTTTGCTGCACGCTTGCAGGGTTATGAGATGATCAGAATGTTTCGGTACATTCAATAACTTGGCAATCGAATTAACTCCCTTTTTGAAAACTTCACTGTCAACTGAAAATAAAATAAAGAATTGCAAGATTTAGATATTTTCACGTATGACGTCAAATATTGCACAATGTAGCGCAAGATATACTTACAATGTAAATTATCTAAAGGATTCGTGGACTTGATACTAGGCACTTTAACCTCTTCTTTATCTTTTACCTTACTTCCTACAACTTTCTGATATTTCTGGCCTAATAAAATAAATTATATATATTTTATTTTTTAGCATTTATTATTATTATATTTATTGATAAGATAACCAATGATTATTCACACTCTTATGAAACTTTACACAAATGATTTTAACAAGAAAATCTCGTGAATGGTCAAATTCTGATTTTAATAAATTTTATATAAATGAGTTATGTAAATAGATTAATTTAGAAAATATCATTTGCGTCCAATAAACGGTTTTAAGGAGTGTGAAATCACAATTCATATATAAACAAGTTTTCAGCCTTTTCGGTATATCTCAAAAACTATTCAATATGTCAAAAATGTTTTATAATGAAATTATTTCTATTTATTTAAATCAATATACTTAAAAAAATATATACATAATTATTTTTTAAAAACATTGATTTAAATATAAATCATTTTGTTATAAAACTTTTGTATAAACATTTTTTGGAAGAGTAATTTCTTTTCTTAAAACCATTTATTTATTGCAATTAATATTTTCTAAATTTATTAATTATGTAATTTATAAGTACCATATATCAAGTGTGGTTAAAATCAGGATTTGATTTTTCGCGAAGTTTTCTTGTATGTAAGTAAACATTTTATTACATGCATTCTATAATTAGAGCCATTACTTAAATTTCAAATTTTAAATCGTAAACAATCAACTAGTCGAATATAAGAAAAATTTATTATGATCGATCAATTTCTTATGGATTAAAATTTAGGTAATGACTTATTGTAGCAAGCCATTAAAGCATTAGTAGTAGTATAAAAATGCAGGTGGGCTTTGTTAGCCTTCTAACGCGACCTAGATCCATGGGGTTCTTTTGTCGCTCCCTGCTTATTCTGTAGGTCATTCAGTTAAGCCTCGTGTCACTTACCAGACTTATTAAACTGTTAACCTTCGCATTTTCAAGATCCTTGGGTGTCATAAACATATGTCCCCAGGATTTGTACCTTTTACAAGCGAGTACAGGGCATCGGCACAATAAGTGCAGGTTGTCCTCGCTTTCTTCTCCCATTAAAGTATTAAATCAAACAAATCTTACTGTCATCTCCAAACTCTAGCCAAACAGCATATCCTATGAACCACTCTAATTGATCAATCTCGTTCTCAGTTATTGGGCAGTTGACATCATTACAATACTTTTCAAAAACGTTTGGCCATTCCGAGGATGTAATGTCCCTCAAATTTGTACGATCCTCTATGGTATAATGACGTATCTTTTGATCTTCCAACCAAACAATCGTCTTTCTGAAGTGCTGAGTATCTGAAATATTACATTGTATCATTATTTTAATACTCAAGAAATTTCCTGTTTCACAAATAAAGAAATATCTGATGTAACTATAACAATTTTTAGAATTGATACATTGATGTTATAAATTATGAGCATAAATGTGTCACCAAATGATGACTGTAGCTGTATTCATTAGTCAGCTTTTATTAATTCCTATAAGTCTTTCTTAGAGAAAATAAAGGATGAAGCTAAACATTTTAGAATTTTATTTCTAAATATTTCCTAAACTAATTAAACTAGTGTGTGACTGTCAGAAGTCTGCATGTTATATTTCTCAAATTTCTTATACAGTATATCTAAAATAATGTCCGTATAAAACATAGATCATTATAACATCAAAATGATATAAAAATAGTAACAAATTTGATTGTTAAGAATCACTTTTCAATCAGTCACAACTAATTTTGATGATGTTTTACTTAGTCTGAAAATGTCCTTGCACAAAACTTTGTTATTGTTTCTGTAATATTTGCTCATAATAGTGACATTGGAATGCATTGGAGTGTTAATTAAAAAATAGTATTAATGAAATAAAAGACAATTAAGTTTTATAATAAAAAAATTTATGTAAAGGACAGCTACCTGAAATAAAGTACAGCTGTCTTTTACATTTATTTATTTAGTAAAGGCTATATGATTAGCATGTGGCTACTCAGGCTAATTGCTTTTTTTGAGGATACAGTTGACACAAATGTTGTTTTATCTTTGGTATTCATTGAATGGAATAAAACAATGTTTGGGTCAAATGGATCTCCTAAAAGAAAAATAGTTCCAACTGTAGTTAAGATGCCATAAATCAATCATAGGTCGACATTCACAGGTCATGTCTTCTTATTTCAACACCAATCTGAGTAATGTTTTTACTAATGCTAATATGGTATTTGTGATTGTCTTATGACATCTTAAGACTGCATTTAAAATGGTCCTAAGTAAAAAATAATCGATTATGTACCGTTTTATGAATATTGGCTACAGAGCTGTATTAGTATCTAAAGAAATTATTTAAGACGGTCTTGTAATAAAAATGAACTGTGAATATTGTTCTATACAGGTAGGTGCCTTCACTGTCCAAGGATCATATTGCGTCAAGTGACTTAAAACTTGTATAACTGCATTTATATACAAATATATTTTTGGATTTTTAATCAATTACATAGGTTATATGACATGTGTTAAAAGTCGCTTACTATCTCCATTGACTTTGTCCCAGTCCAAGTAACCAAGTGCCTTCAATTTTCTCTTGAACATATTAATTATTCGAGTAGGAAGGTCGATGAATGAGCTGCTACCGTAGAAAAATGCGAAAAATCGTGGAGAAACGAAGACAATTTGTCGCTAATTTTACGGATTCGGCGAAGATGCTTCTATTTTTTTTTTGCGTGACTGCTAGCACTGCTAGCATCGATGCGCAAGGCGGCCCAGAGGGGGCGGGGCGCGCGCCGCGGCGCGAGCAGATGGCACGCTCGTCTATCCATCGCTCGTTTTCTCGCTGATCCGCTATCGTCCGCGGGCGCTAGAGCGGTGCGAGAGTTGCGCATGTGACGTGCGCAACGGCACTCGCGTCCAGGAATCACGGATCGCGATACGGAGGGCCAGAGCGGGGCGAGTGGGGCAGCGGACGACAATGATGGCGGCCACCAGCGATGAACGGAGTGTTATGGAGCCTGGGAAAACGAATTCGGGGCAGAGTCTACCCATAGACCGGCTAAAACTGCTCTATCCTATGGTCGACGAGGAGAAGACGCCGTTGCCGCGTTCCTGGAGCACCAAGGACAAGTACAGCTACATAGGCCTGTCGCAAAACAATCTTCGCGTTCACTACAAAGGTACGTGGGTAGCCCGTCAGCGCGCGACCTCCGCGCGCGCGAGACGATGCGCTTCTTTCCTCGCGGACGCGTGTGCGCGTCCTCGGCGCGGACCTCCGCGCCGCGCCGCGACCCATCCGGACACGCCGTCCTCAGCCTCGTGCCTGTGGCCCCGCGATCGAGCTGCTCCCGGGGCAGGCACGGTCGATCGATTGAAAATGGCAGGGCGCTATTTCAGCGTGTGTCAGCGACCTAAACAAAGGAATCAGCTGATCAGTCAGCCAGTCCCCCGCGATCGAGTCTTTGCGCGTCGCCGTCGACATCGTCGACGTCCTCGTCGACGCGATGACTCCGACGACGACAGCCGCATCGGCGGTCGATCCTCGCAGGACGCTCGTCGATTTCTGGTTGTCGACGCGTCTACTAGGAAAAAGAAATGCCAGAGGAAGAGGGGGAGAGAGTGAGATAGAGCGATACACGGAGAGAGGAACCGAAAGAGATGGAATACAGCTGCACACAATGTCAATGACAGCTATGTCGTCGACGTGAAAACGATATGTGGACTCGACCCCGCGCCCCGATCCACCTTGAATCCTCGCTTCGGAGGTTCCCCCCTCAAATTTCGCCTTGATGTACAGATGGTGTCTTCGTGCTCCATTTCTACCACCGAAAAAAAATTTTTCATTTGACATCTGACTAAATTAATCGTATGTATTTTTAAACAAAATATAATATAAATATTCATACATTCTTCATTGAAAGAAACAAAGACGAATTAATTTAGTCAAACGAACCACTTTTTGTCCGAGAGAGTGTCAACGTAGATTTTTTAAATTTTAATCTCTGTTTAATCTACTCTTTAATCTTTTTTTTAATTCTTAGAAGTAGAAAATGATATAAAAAACAAGTTTAATTCCACATTAATAATAGAAACAGGTATAAAACGACAACATTCAATATAATAAGTCGTTTTTTGAATTTGAGGCAAACCGCTATTTTTTTTTTTACATATAAGAAATATTTAAAAATTTGCAGGTTGAGTAGATTTAAATTACACTTCGTCGGAATTGCTATACAAACAAAGAACGTTGAATTGAAGAAGCAAAGCTGCTGCGTCAGCAACTTGATGCGAGACTTGATCGTTGGGATATTTAATGGCGGAAAATGGAGAGCTACTACGCGATGTTTGGCCACCAGATTATCGTTACGGAACAATCCTCCGTGGATTCCTGTCGAAGCAGTCTGTTGTTAAAGTTTGATACAGGCGTTTCTAAACGGGGAGCTCAACGCTCCGTGCATTCAAATCCCATGAGTTCTCCCTATGGACGAGTTTTTTTTTTTTCTCATATCGAGAGCGAAGGATGCCAGAAATGGCCGAGGGCCCTTTTTTCTTGCCTCTTTGTGCTCCCCCGTGCTCGTTATATACATGGTGTATCCTCTGGATTCCTGGCCTGTGCCGCAACCTCGGCCGCAACGTAACGTATATGACGGCAACGATGACAGTGGCACGGAACACGGTGTACTTATCGGTTCACTTGGCGCACCGTGATGCACGGAATAAGAAAAGTTAAAAGCATTTAAAACGTAAATGCGCTATATCGGCTTTGGACGAGCGTGTTCACGCTCGACGAACGTGATGTGTTCGTGCAGCGAACGAAAATATTGTTTCTCCTTGATCCGACGCACGAAGATTGTTAAGAGGAAACGGGAAGCGAAAGAGATAAACAATTGTCGTACGTTTATTGGATTACTTCGCGGACATTTGACAGATACGTTGACGATAATCTTAAAGGGTATTTTTTTCTTTTTATACAAAGAACTTCCTTATTTTCGTCGGACAGTTCCTTTGCATTTATTTTGTTAACGAGGACAAATAATAAAGGTTAACGTTGTTGTAAGTTATTTTTACGTGCAAGAATTAATGTATAATTGTCTCAGAATAGACTGATATTTATTGGTTTACATTCTGATTCTATACGCGGAAAATAGTGCATTATAAATTATTTAACAAAAAATGACGTGGTTAGCTAAATGGATTAAAGTTCACTCTGTGTGTGCGTGTAATTTTTTCTTAACGTAAAATACTTTTACAATTAACGTAACTTTTAATAATTCCGAGTTCGTATTATTTCCTTAAAAAAGAAATGTTATCTATAGTGGGGTTTGGCGAAAAAAAATGGAAGAGAATACGAAAATAAATATAATCACGTATATTACGAATATGCTTTAACTGTAGAAATACATGAACCAAATCAAAAATAGAAAAACTAACAGCTGTCTATGCATACATAATTTATTCAACATTAAATTCGTCGACATCTGTATCTTTATAATTACCGTTGATGGTAAGATAAATATTTGCCGAGTGTGATTAAGCACACAGTCGCCGATCTCTGATAAAATTCTGATTATGAATGGAGAGCGTGAGCTACAAGAAGTTACAATATGCGGCAGACATGAAGCATAATGCACGCGTACACTCGACCCTAGCCATGCTGCACGTCGATAATATCCGTCGCTTGAATCCTTTAATTTAACTTCGATCGTTGCTTCTGAGGTTGTAGAGAGTTGTACACAGGGCAATTGCAGCTTGCAACATAAATATTTCACTCACATCGAAATTCTATTAAAGCAAATTCCATTTGAAATGAATTAAAAGTATTTGATTTGGTTCGTGTACTTATTTCTACAGTTAAAGCAAATTCGTGTAAATATATGTGATTATATTTATTTTCGTATATTTTCTTCCACTTTTTTTCACCAAAGTCCACTATCGATAACTCGACGTTTCTTGTTTAGGAAATAATAAATACGAACTCGGAATTATTTTTTCATCAACAATCTAGGTTTTGAAACTTCAATGTAGATTTTTATATTGTGTTCCGGATTGTATAAAAATTTAAAAAAAATACCTACATATTTGTTAAATTTTAACAAGCTTTACTGTCACAGGAATTAGATTACATTTTACTTATACTTTTTTATAGATTTAAATTTATTCGTCAAAATTCACAATTAAAAAATCGCTTGTGACTTCAGAATCCTACATAATTAAACAAGTCATATTAGATAAGAGATACAGCGGTATTTCTCGATGTGTCTGTTAATAGAATAAAATAATTCTATATACAGCGATAATTATGAAATCACGAATCGTAATCACGCTTGGCTGCATCACATTTTGAGCACCTCTATACTATTTCGTTCCTAAAGAGATGAGTTGTAATCGTTGTGAACCTCGAAGAGCTGCCGAAGTACCTGTCACTTACACGCTACTCGTGGTAACAATTTTGGCGAAATTCGGTACGAGAATCAACTATGGCTATGGGCTCTCCATGTCGGCGATCCACGAATGTATCTGTTTGTAACGAGTGCACATGGCTTCCCCTTGCATGGGAGTGCCTGAGAAAGCGGAAGGCCGCCATCGTCATTCGCAATAATACATCTATACCGTTAGCCATCAACTCCTTCTCTTTTTCCTTGCACATCCACATTTACTCTTTGATCATGTAAACACAGACCGACTGGATCTTGTTTTGGTCTTCGTCCTATTCTAGAGTTTATCGTCTTCCAGTCTCTGGGGTTTGAATTGTCGATCATAAATGTTTGCCATTTTTGCGAAAGTTAACAGATCCGAAAGGCCGCTTCTGCAAACATTAATTAACGGAGGAGTTAATTGATTTATTCTGTTTTCTATTATAGTACACATTTCTTTATATATAGAATTGTTTAAAAATACAGAACTGCCTAAAAGAAACTGCACATTTAAAAACGTGCTTGTTTCTCTTTAAGTTTATTATTAATTTTTAATATAATTATGTTATTAGCGTGATAATTCATCTAATTATTTAACATCAGAATTAAGCTTTTTCCCTTTTTTTTTTTTATAACACACTATATGTATAGTCAGTAAAATATTTTACATTACGTGTACAGTAATTAACATTTAACTGTTCAAATATTTAAATAACCTCAAAACTGATGTATTCATTGGTTTATATGTATATATTCTGGTTCTATACGCGGAATAATTACATATATTATTTTACATTAAAAAATGAAAAGAAATATTCTGATATTCGAACTAAATGATATCAATGATATAATTTGGCCCATTATCAATGCTGATTACGTCAAATGGTATTACGTGATTACAACAGCGTTGCTGCAGACCGTCTTTTGCATAAAAAATAAGATTCTTTATTTTTTATTCTTTGTTTTAAGGCTCACTTTTTTATTTATCTAATTAACTTGTGGTTAAATTTAATTTGATGTATCACCTAATGTGGACTTTACCCATAACATGATTATAGATGAAGTCCATCCATTGAATAAAACATAAAGTTATAAATTTAATCGCAAATTAACCAAATAACGAATAAAAATTGAGTCTTGGAGTATTAAAAAATAAAAAAAATAAATAAATAAAGAATAAGCCTAACTACAGGCAAGTTAACCAAAAAATTAAAATTTTTAATACTTTAATAAAGATAGAGATATAATGCTTTAATAAAACTTCCGAAAGCTACATAAATGATGCTCGATGCAGCATATAGGTACGCTGTGTAAGGCAAGA